ATATTAAACATGTGAAAATAGCTTGTATTAGTGAAGGTTCTCATAAATAAGTTTTCTAAAACATGTACATAAAATCGTACATATTTTTAAAATCTCATCTTTGCATTAAACTGCAACGACAATCTTGACAGGTCTGTAAATAACATAATTATGTATCANTATTTCAATATGTCGGTTAATGAGAGAAGATACGCTATAGGCTAACTAATCAGCGCTGGTAATCGTGACTTGATTTCCCCGACAGTCGGATTATTTAAATGATCGACACAGACACGTGCAAGGTGATCGCACAAAAAACGTATTTCCATAAGTATACGTACGGCAGCGAATTCGAATTAAAAAGAGACGGACAGCGTGCGGTACAGATTTTCCGTGCAGGATTTAGAAGCGATAAATACGAGAACAAAGGAAAAGATTCGTTTTTCGTGGACACCGTGTGCGCGCTTGCATGATCAAACCTGGCCAAATCGTTTTATTTCAAATGAAAAGAAGAAATACAGTGAATTCTCCCTAATTGACGCTCAGACTGTGCAGAAGAGGAGATAATTATATATATATATATATAAAAATATATATACATATTTATTATATTAATTTATATTATATATATAATATACAAATATTATATAATTACAATTATAAATATATAATTATCTCCTCTTCTGCACAGTCTGAGCGTCAATTAGGGAGAATTCACTGTATTTCTTCTTTTCATTTGAAATAAAACGATTTGGCCAGGTTTGATCATGCAAGCGCGCACACGGTGTCCACGAAAAACGAATCTTTTCCTTTGTTCTCGTATTTATCGCTTCTAAATCCTGCACGGAAAATCTGTACCGCACGCTGTCCGTCTCTTTTTAATTCGAATTCGCTGCCGTACGTATACTTATGGAAATACGTTTTTTGTGCGATCACCTTGCACGTGTCTGTGTCGATCATTTAAATAATCCGACTGTCGGGGAAATCAAGTCACGATTACCAGCGCTGATTAGTTAGCCTATAGCGTATCTTCTCTCATTAACCGACATATTGAAATATTCAATTAAGAGGTTCCACGGCGGTAGCGAGACGGTTTCCGCGCGGCGTGGAATAATAAACATTCCAGAAAAGCTGCCGGGGGGTGATCATCCCGGAGACAATCAAACGAGTACTATACATCAGACGCGTACGTACCTGGAAGGAACGATGGTGCGGATGATGAGGATGATGAAATTGTGGTGTGTGAATCATGTCGCCAGTCTCAGGATCCTCGCACCTGGATGACTTTGCGACCTCGACGTTGCTCGAGGTTGTAACAGCCGTTTCACCCTTCGCGGTCTCGGACTCTTCGGCGGTGTCCTCTTTCTTCTTCTTCACTTCCGGCTTCGTTTCCTACGTAAGCATCCTTTTTTTTATTACCACCGACGACGACAATGTCACAGCCTTGTCAACGACAAGTCCTCGCGACAAGATTCGCTTCCCGTTCTCTATCGCGAACAAACGACCGGTCTCAATCTGGATTTCATCTGCCGCGAACCTGGCACAGACCCGATCAATTTTTTTTAATAACAACCCTCGGCAAAAATTGTTCGAACACCTTTCAAATCGCGACGATCTTTTCAATACTGGACCAGACGACTCGCTACATTAATTATAATTAATTACGATCTGGATATGAACTTAGTGAACTGGATGTGTACATAACAAATGACATTATCTTGACATAAGCTTGACATTACTTTTTGGCGTACACACGGTTTCGATCAGACAGTAGATTTTTCGTATTGTGACGTCAGTTGTAAGGGATTTGGAAAATCATATTTAACGCTTTAACTTATAAATTTGAACGTTTTACGAAGTTAAAGTGATTTATTTAGTGAAATCTAAATTTCAAAATTGAGATATGTTTGAATATATCATTCATCGTCATGTCATATTATATATAATATAATATGTTTGAATATCTCAAAATTGAGATATTTTTGGAGTTATTATTATTATTGGGGAAACGTAGGTGGGATCTAAATAATATAAATGAGTAAAATAAATAAGTAAAAATAAGGGATCTAAAATTTTTCATTTATTATAAAAGAAACTACAGAGGAAAAAATGTTATGTGGAAAAAAGTTTCCGATCATTAAGTTATTAATATTTTGTTACATTACCACGTCCTCGTATGACACTTTTAATATCGTTGGAGGATTGACCTTGCTAAGTTTTCACAATCCTTAGGTGAAATTTCTCTCTTTTCACGACAATTTTGTCATAAGTCGAAGTTCCTCTTTAATTTTTGGTTTTTTCTCGTGAATAGATTTTTATTAATTTTGCCCACATGTTCCCGATTGAGTTCAAATGGGGACTGTTCGCAGGCCACTTCAACGATGTAACATGATTTTGCTCTAAATAGTCTTTTATGCTAGTGTTGCCATCTTGGAAAGTGAAAGAAACTGAAGAACTTCCGAGCCACTGCTTTGTGCTTGGAATTAAAAAATCTTCTAAAACACATTAGTATAACATAATATATTTCCGTCGTACAACTCCATATCATATAAGATTGCGGATATTTTTATTTATAATTCATGCGATTTTTGTTAAATTTTTCGTTAGATATCCGCCAAACGAAAATTTTCCCTCGTCATCCCCTGCTCCAAGAGACAAACACGAAATTCTGTCGCATCCACCATACTCCCCAGACCTAGCACCCTCCGATTATCACTTGTTTCTCTCTTTGCAAAACTTTTTACAGGAAAAAGAAATTCAAAACTGAAGCTGACGTCAACCAAGCATTAGTTGAGTTCATCGCCTCTAAAATAAATCATTTTTTT